GCCCGTCGCCGCTCCCCCCCCTTTCACTGGGCCCTCCTCCTCAAGCGAGCCAGCCGAAGCGAAACCAAAGCGAAATTGAACAACGTCGTAGTGGAGACGAAGGGAAGCCCCTTCTCTCCTTTGATCCCTTCCAACCCAAGGGGGTTGGGGGGTAGGGGGGGGTCCTGGGGGGGGTCCCAGTGGGGGGTCTTGGGGGGGGGTCCTGGAGGGGGGGTCCTGGGTCAGAACACCATCCTACCCTGGGGGGTCCTGGGCCCCAGAAAGGCCCCAAGACAGCCCAAGAGGCCCCCACGAGGGTCCAAGAGGGCCCCGAATCGCCGAACAATGGGTGCACGACGCTACAAATGACCTCCTGACAGCCCAAGCGGCTTCCAAGACGCTCGAAGAGGCCTCCAAGAGCACGCCTAGAGGGCCCCAACAGGCAAAATGGCATGATTTGATCTAAGGTTTTTTCAAGATTCTTGCATTCTCGCTTTTTCGGCTGCCCGACGGCCCAGATCGGCACATCAGGCCCCCAAGAGGTTTCCAAAACTGCCCCAAAACGACCCAAGAGGGCCCCAACACGGCTCCAAGAGGCTGCCCACACGGGAGCCCGAACAGACATGTCGAGACCTCGGCCCCGAGAAGCACCCAGGAGGCCCCAAGGGGCCCAGAAGAGGCCCCCATGAGGCCCCAAGACGGCCCCAAGAGGCCCCCCAGAAACCCAAAGGGACCCCCAAAAGGCTCCCAAGATGCTCCCAAGAGGCCCCAAAACTGTCCCGCAGAGGCCTACGACCGCGCTCCGAAGAGGCCCCACGAAGCATCACTGAGGACTCTGCCCCACGTCAGCGTCGTCGTCGCCACTGACGCCGCCGACGCCGTCGTCGTGGTCGTCGTCCCCCTTCCGGGTCGGCGGCACCAGCCGGAAGGCTTTCCCAATCTCTAAATCAGCCATCTGCTGGTCCGCCCCTGGCGCTCTCCGCGCGCCAGCGAGGGGGGTCCAGCGCCGATCTGAGACATCCGGCGGAGCTCCGAAAGTAGGTGGCGACAGAAACCCTGCCCCCGCCGCCCATCTAGTTGCCTGAATCATTGATCGGCGAGGGCAAGGTTCGGATATCGCCACCGAGAAAGTGTACACGCCCGTCGTAAGAAGCAGGTACAAGCATGAAGCAGGAAGGCGGATAAACAAGATTGGGTTCGGGCCCTCCCACAAAAAAACATGAAACTGGCGCGACCCAAATTAGGGGAAAGCTTCCTATTGCATGGGGTCAGTGCTTGGCATTGCTTGGCATTGCTTGGCATTGCTTGGCATTGCATTGCTTGGCATTGCTCGGCATTGCTTGGCATTGCTCGGCATTGCTTGGCATTGCTTGTCATTGCTCGGCATTACTCGGCATTGCTTGGAATTGCTTGGCATTGCTTGGCACTGTTTGGCATTGCTTCGCTTTGCTCATGACATTGCTTGGCATTACTTGGCATTGCTTGTTTGGGGTACTGCTTGGCATTGCTTGGCACTGCTTGGCATTGCATAGTATTGCTTGGCATTGCTTGGCATTACCTGGCACTGCTTGGCATTGTTTGGTTTTGCTTGGCATTGCTCCGTATTGCTTGGCATTGCTTGGCATGGCTTGACATTGCTTGGCACTGCTTGGCATTGCTCGGCATTGCTTGGAATTGCTTGGGGGTGCTTGGTATTAATTGGCATTGCTTGGCATTGCTTGGCACTGCTTGGCATTGCTTGGCATTGCCTTGCATGGCTTGGCATTGCTTGGCATTGCTAGGCATTGATTGGCATTGCTTGGCATTGCTTGGCATTGTTTGGCATTGCTTGGCATTGCGTGGCGTTACTTGGCATTGCTTGGCATTGCTTGGCATGGCTTGGCATTGCTCGGCATTGCTTGGCATGGCTTGGCATTGCCTGGCATGGCTTGGCAATGAAAAACTACAAGGCACAAGGGGCGGGGAACCCGAGGAACCCCGGGAACCCGAGGAACCTCGGAACGGGCAACATAACAATAGGAGGCACCAGGGGCGGGGAACCCGAGGAACCTGGGGAACCCGAGGAACCTTCGGCGGTAAACAAACCTCCCTTAAGTACACCTCCCCCTTAATGAAGACGGCGTGGGACCGAAACCGACGGACCTGGACCCGCAAAAATGACGGCCGCGGCGCCCTCTCGCGAACCGAAAACGGCGTAGTCCTTAATCGACGTGTCAGGATAGGAGGTCTGTCCACCCCCGAAACCTCTAGGAGGCACCGGAGGCGGAGAACCCAAGGAACCCGAAGAACCCGAGGAACCTCAGAGGAACGGGCAGAGTGACAACACGAGGCACCAGCCCATAACCAAGCAAGATTCCCCTTAGGCAAGCCTACTTGAAAGAAAGGCGTCAAAAACATTACCCCTGAGAAAACCCCAATCAGTGGATGATTTGAAAATTAGTCATATAGATCTTGAGATCGATAGTGGAATCGATGGAGAACGATTATAAGGGCGATCGTGAGACCGAGAGTGAAACCGATTCAATGAGATCGATAGGGAGATCGATCGCGAGATCGGTCGTGCGATCTCTAGTGGGATCGCTTGCGAGATCGATTGTGAGATCGATTGTGAGATCGATGGTGAGATCGATAGAGAGGTGGGAAATGAGATCAATGCTGAGACCGATCGATAAGAAAATCGACCAAAAACCCGGGAACCCGGGAACCTCGCCGCCCACCGAAATCGGCCCGGGAACCGGGAACCCGGGAACCCGGAACCGGGAACGCGGGAACCCAGCGTGCGACCGAACTCGGCGGGAAACTTTCGCCAAATCCTTCAACCTCCGCTAGGACCCCTTCAGTGCAAGCACTGATTGGGGAATATAGGCTCTTGAAGCAGGAAGACGCTTGAAGTAGATCGAGATCTGGATATCCACAAAGACCTACTTCCGACGCCTGGCGAGTATGCTGCTGTCGCTTCTCTGCTTCTCGAAGGGCGGCCTCGTCGACTGGCTGGGGAGCCCAGGCGGCCGCTGGCGCGAGGCGTGGAGCAGGAAGCCTCCGCCCAGAACGTGTGCCGGAGCTCTGGGGGCACGGGTCAACCTCAAGAGCGCCACGCGCGGCACCTTCGCGGGCAACATCGCCATAGGCCTGCTCCAGGCCCTACCCAAGGCCCAACCCCTAAGCCTAACCTAGGCCCCACCCCAGGCCCTACCCCTAGGCCATACCCTTAGGCCCTACCCTTAGGCCTGCCTCTGGGCCTACTCTCCTCAGCCTATCCCAGGCCCTACCCCCAGGCCCTACCCCTAGGCCTACCCTGGGTCTTCCCCGAGGCCTACCCTGGACGGCGAGCGAGTGGAGAAAGTGAGAAGGAGGAGGCCTTCTCAGAAGGCAGCGGGGCTTCTCTGAAGCCCTCTGGCCTTCTGAGAAGCGCTCTGTGTCTTCGGGGAGGCCTCAGAAAGTGAACCCGGCGCGACCCCCCATAAGGGAAATCCTAAGCATTGCATGGGCGCATCGCTGGGCGCAGTGCTTGGCATTGCCTGGCATTGCCTTGCATGGCTTGGCATTGCTTTGCATGAGTTGGCACTGCTTGGCATTGCTTGGCATTGCTTAACATTGCTTGGCACTGCTTGGCACTGCTTGGCATTGCTTGGCATCGCTCGGCATCGCTCGGCACTGCTCGGCGCTGCTCGGCACTGCTCGGCATTGGTTGGCATTCCCAAGCGGGGAACCCGAGGGAGCCCGAGGAGCCCGAGGAGTCTCTGGGGAACGGGCAAAAAGTAGCACCCTCCGAGGCACCGAGGCCAGGGAACCCGAGGGACCCGAGGGACCCGAGGGACCCGGGGAATCCAGAGGATCCCTGGGGAACGGGCAAAGTACAGTGGAGGCCAGTCCACAAGAAACCTTCCACAAGAAACCCAGCCCTGAGACCCCAGGACGCCCATCGACGTTTGGTGTGGTGTGGGGACTTCACGCCTTCCATCGCAAAACCATCGAAACCCAAGAAACCCAGGGCACCCTGGAGGCAAGCAGGGTGTTTCTTGGCATGGGCCCCCACTGTAGGGTCTCGAGATACCATTCTTCTTACTCCTAGGAAGACCCCCTGGGGAGCCTTCTGAGAAGGCCCGCCCCCTCTCACTTCCCCCGGGGCTCGCCGCCGGAACATCACCATCGTTCTCTTCGCCGTCGAGGGCATCGTCAATGTCACCTTCGCCGTCAGCAGCAGCGGTGGCATCACCCTCGTCGTCGCCGCGATGGCCCGTTGTCCATTATCCACGTCGTCTCCAGTCTCCGTCGTCGTCGCCGTCATCGCCACCTCAAATCTTGGAATCAACTAAAAAACGCGAATGCTAAAATGGATACGTGTCAATGAAGGCAAAAGCACCGGAGCACGGTCAAACACACGAGGAATAGAATGGCCGGGGACAGGAAGACGACGATGTGCGCGAAGTTGTTCGAGAAGGAGAACTGTGACGACCAAGAGGAGCAGGACGGGAAGGAGGAGGAGAGGGGAGGGGGATGAGAATGAGAATTAGCAACAGTCAAATAAGAGTGAAGGGGCCAAACGGTCATTCATTGTCTGGGTTTGTGGCTGAAAAGCGGATCTGTGGTGGGGATTCTGCTTGTTGTTGTTGTCGTCGTCCCCCCCGCGACCCGGCCCGCGACCCACCCGCGAACCACCTCGCTACCCACCCGCGACCCACCCCGCGACCCAACCGCGACCCACTCGCGATCCACCCCGCGACCAGCTCGCGACCCACCCGCGACCCACCCGCGACCCACCCTCGACCCACCCGTGACCCAGCCCGCGATCTACCCGCGACCCACCGTCGACCCACCCGCCACCCACCTGCGACTCAACCCGCGACCCACCTACATTGTTTTAACAAAAAATCGGCGCCTGCGGCGGGCTCGTTGTATAGCTTGGAAGATTTTGCGCCTTTGGCGGGCTTCTTCAAAGCCTCGCAGACTGCCGACGTCCCCGCCGCCCCCTCACTCTTATCCGCAACTGCGGGGCGCTACGTATCGGCGGCGCAAGGGTCCTGTTTCCTGCTGTAGGCCTGCTTCTTCAGCACCTCGATGGCCCTCTGGAGTGCGTCCACGGACTCAGAATAGTCTTTGTGGAGCTTGTCGTAGTCGGCCTTGTTAGTGGCGACGACGACGACGAAGACGAACATGACGACGACGACGACGACGACGACGACGACGACGACGACGACGACGACGACGACGGCGAGAAGCAGCCCAGCAGCAGCCAGAGCGGCGGCCCTACCTGGCCAAGCCCATCCCGCGCCTGGGTTCGGTGTACGTCCTGGCTCGGCCAGAAGGCGCTTGCAGCAATCCCTGGCCCAGAACTTTTGACCGGCCAGGGCCACGGCTGATGCGACTGACTATGCGGTTGGCTCCCGTCGCGGCGGCGTGGACGCTGGTTTCTGACACCGCTCAGATCGTTCAAGCTTGTTATTGGGTCAGATCGCAGATGACCTTGAACCCTTACATGAACATCGTTTATCCGATCCCCATCCCCAGCAGCGTGGCCTGGGCCCCACTGGCCGATCTACCCCCCCAGATGGGGATATAGGCCGTCCCCTTCGGGCTTCGAGGGGTGTATCCCCAACTGGGGTGGTAATTTGGTGGGGGTCTCGAAGGGGATGAGGACGGGGATGGGGGTCGGATCAACGATACCGATTGAACACCCGCGCCAACATCGCTGCCGCGCAAGCCTGCCCGAGCCCTCCCGGAGGCAGCCCGGGTCCCCGGAGGTCCCCCGCAGGCCCCGGGGCGCCCCTGGAGGCCCCCGCAAACAGAGCCAGCAGTCGGCGGCGAGCGAGAGGGGGAAATGAGAAGTCGCGGGCCACATGCGAAGCCTACCCCTGCCCCCCCACGATTTCTGAGGAAGAGGGTGGGGTTCACTAAGTTCGGGAGCTCCCGAGCGAAGTGAACCCCGCCCTCCCCCTCAGAAATCGTGGGGGGTAGGGGTAGGGTTCGCATGTGCGCCCCCGAGGAGAAGAGGCCTTCTCAGAAGGCGGCGGGGCTCCTCAGAAGCCCTCTGAGAAGCTTCTTCCTGTCTTCGGGGGAGGCCGAGAAAACTCCTCGGGAGGCCGGGGGACTTCCGAGCCTTCTGAGAAGGCCTCCTCCTTCTCACCTCCCCCCCGCGCTCGCCGCCGAAGAGCAGCCAAAAACCCATCGACGAACCCGGGTCGCCGACCCGAGGCTCGTCGCCCGGCGCAGGCCGCCGGCGGCCGTCAGCCCCGAAAGCCCGGGGTGGAGTCGCCTCCGCGCCGAGGGACGGACAGGGGACCGACCACGACGACGACGACGACAACGACGACGACGACGACGACGACGACGACGACGACGACGACGACGACGACGACGGCGACGGCGACGACGACGACGACGACGACCATCACCACCACGACGGCGGCGGCGATACTGGTGGCTTTCCCCAGCTTCGGCCTCCAGCGGCCCGCTTCCGCGCCCCCGGGCCCGGGACCAGTGGGAAGCGAAGCCTGGGGCCGAAGACCAGGCCCCAGGAGAGGGGTCACGAGGTCAAGGGGCCCCGCGCAGTGGCAACAAAAAACGGCACGTCGGAGGCTCCCGGACCCTGGCCTTATCTGTCTCTTGTGTTGTTGTTTGTGTGTTTGTTGTTGTTGTTGTGGAACTCTCACAACTGGAGAACGATTATTGTTGATCCCACCCCTCCGGTGACCATTGTTTTTTCAATTGAAGTGCTTCCCCTGGGGCTCGCACCTTGTCTTTATCAGGGAAAATACTAAGCTCAAAATGGCCCCCTGGCCCACGGCTTACAACAACAGCAAAAACAACAACAATCATGTTAAGACTGTTCCCTGTTATCTGCTCGAGTGTCCGCTAACGCATATTTCCCAAACCCTCGATACCCGCCCTCTTCGTCTTCGATGGTACCCCTTTGGGGGGTTGACCTTTCTTCCCTGCAGGCCGGGCCCCGGCAAGCGGCGGGGCGGCCGCGGACCGTCGGCCTGACCAGCGGCAGCGCTGATCGGCGGCAACCCGACCCCAAGAGGGACGGACAGGGGACCGACCACGACGACGACGACGACGACGACGACGACGACGACGACGACGACGACGACGGCGACGACGACGACGACGACGACGACGACGACAAGCGAAAGCGAGAGCGAGAGAGAGAACGACAGCAGGGCCACGAAGGGCACGAAGTAGGCCACGAAGGGCGACAGCGGGGACACGAAGGGCATGCATAAGAGGGCCACGACGGGCGCGAACGAGCGGGGGCCACGAAGGGCAGATAATGCGGGGCCACAAAAGGCAACGACGGGGCCACGAAGGGCATGCAACGGGGCCACGTAGGACAGCGAGGGGGCCACGAAGGGCTGCAACGGGGCCACGAAGGGCATGCATATGGGACCACGACAGGCGCTAACGAGCGGGGGCCACGAAGGACATACGTACATTGGGCCGCGGAAGGCAAGGACGGGGCCACTGAGGGCAGCAACGGGGCCACGAAGGGCAGCGAGGGGGCCACGACGGGCGACAGAGGGGCCACGAAGGGCATGCAACGCGGCCACGACGGGCGCGAACGAGCGGGGGCCACGAAGGGCATACATATGTGGGGCCACGAAGGGCAGCGAGGGAGCCACGAAGGGCTGCAACGGGGCCAATGGCAGCGAGGGGGCCACGAAGGGCTGCAACGGGGCCACGAAGGGCAGCGAGGGGGCCACGAAGGGCTGCAACGGGGCCACGAAGGGCAGCGAGTGGGCCACGAAGGGCATACATATGTGGGGCCACGAAGGGCCGCGAGTGGGCCACGAAGGGCTGCAACGGGGCCACGAAGGGCAGCGAGGGGGCCAAGAAGGACTGCAACGGGGCCACGAAGGGCAGCAAGGGGGCCACGACGGGCTGCAACGGGTCCACGAAGGGCAGCGAGGGGGCCACAAAGGGCTGCAACGGGGCCACGAAGGGCAGCGAGGGGGCCACGAAGAGCTGCAACGGGGCAACGAAGAGCAGCGAGGGGGCCACGACGGGCTGCAACGGGTCCACGAAGGGCAGCGAGGGGGCCACGAAGGGATGCAACGGGGCCACGAAGGGCAGCGAGATCCCGATTTCTAAATAATGTGTAAAGGAGTCGTAAGCGTGAGCGCGACTTCTCGGTGCCTGAGTGTCGGGAGCGCGGCGCTTGAGTAAATTGCGGGAAATTCCAACGCAAGAGCGTTATTCTCTAGTAAATTGCAAGCAAGTCTCCAGCGAGAGCGCGACTCCAGAGCGCCGAGAGCGACTCCTGAATAAATTGTAAGGAAGTCCCAAGCGAGAGCGCGATTCCTGAATAAAGTCTCAGGCGAGAGAAGGGTCCTGTCTAAATTTGAAGACGTCTCAGGCGGGAGCCGTTGTTGTTGTAACCTGTGGGCCAACAACGCAATTTGAGGAGGAAGACTTTCCCTTATGAAGAAAAACAAGGTGCGAGCGCCGGGAGAGGCACTTCAATTGAACAAATACAATGTGCACCGGAGGGGGGATCAACAATAAATATTCTTCAACCATGAAAATTCAGCGGCTCCCGCCTGACACTTTCTAACAAGTTACTCCCAAATCGCGCTCTCGCGCGGGACTTCCTCACAATTCATGTACGCATCGCGCTCTCGCGTGGGACTTCCTCACAGTTTATTCAGACGATACACCCTCGGCGCTCAGGAATCACGCTCTCGCTTTGGCTGTTCTCACGATTTATCCGTAAGGGCTTCGCCCCCTGTTGTTGGTCTCCATACCTCGAAGAATGGTATATGCAAGAGCTGTGTGGGGAGGCCTGGGCGCCGTCGTGAAGCAGTATCGGAACCCCGAGCGATGGCCAATGTCGTACGTCACGGCTTGCACTGCAAGCCTGAAACGAATCGGTCCTTGTGAGGACCTTGCAATCTAAACCTTGACATCCGACAGTGCATGGTGCTGCGTACAAGGTTTATGGCCTCGGGGACGCAAAGATCGTGACATCTACGATAGTTGATGGTCTCGGGGACGCGAACATCGCGTACTTTACAAAGGATTGTGGCCTCGGGGACGCGAATATCGTATAATCTACACATGTTTATCGCATCGGGGACGCACATGTTGTGTAATTTACTAGGTTGTATGGCCACGGGGACGCGAACATTGTGTAATTTACAAGGGCTTGTGGCCTCGGGGACGCAAATATATATATATATATATATATATATATGTACTAAGGCTTATGGCCTCGGGGACGCAAATACCGTGTACTTTACGAAGTTGTATGGCTTCGGGGACGCGAAGATAGTGTAAACTACAAAATTGAATGGCCTCGGGGACGCGAATATCATGTAATCTGAAAGATGTTGTCGCTTCGGGGACGCAAATATTGTGTAATTCAAAATGTCTATGGCCTCGGGGACGCAAATGTTGTTTAAATTACAAGGTTCTGTAACCACGGCAACGCGAACATTATTCAATTTACGATGGATTATGGATTCAAGGATGAAATTCTCATGTATTTTTACATGTCCCACGACCCCCCGGGAATTCAGACAACGCGATCCGGGCGTGGTAATTCGGGCCCTTTTTGGCTACCCCCTCGCGCGTTCAGCAACAATACACAATAGGAAGCAGAAAGCAGCACTGTAACACTGGAAACTGCAAATTGGAACTGGTGCAGGGAGCAGGACACCTCCGCCACACTGCCTGATGGCCCCGCAAGGGGGCCGGCGGACTTGGAAATCGCTTTATCGCTCGAGACTTCCTCGCGATTCATGCAGGACTCACGCTTCAGCAACCCGCCTGCTCGACCTGGTCGCCTGGGTCCGCCTTCCCGACCTGCCCGCTATGGGTCTGCCCACCCGATCTGCCCGTCTGGTTCTACCACTTGTTTTCTGCTCCTTGCCCCCCTCCTGCTAATTTCTCTCGTGCTCCATTCTTCTCCCTCCCCCTTCCACCCGTCCTCTCTTCCCTTGTTTCAGGGGCTTCACTGAATGCACGTGGCAGGTAAGGAAGATATACCCCCAAGGGGGTACGATCGAAGACGACGCGGGCGGGCACCGAGGGTTTGGGATATACGTATTGATTGGCACGTGAGCAGATAGGAGCGAACAGTCTTAATATGGTAAATGTTGTTGTTGCTGATGCTGTGGCT